ACGTGCCTTTTTATAAAATTATTAAAAAGTCGCGCATCTCTCCTTAAAATTTATTTTTCACCTTCTCAAATATTAAAAGAACCCAATGAAAAATAAATAAAAACGGTTCACTAACCTTTCGTCACACAAACTTTTTGACACCAAAACTTTTCGTCACTTTTAATTGCCAGCTAAATAAATAAACAACTTTTTTTATTGACAAAATAATGTCTTATTAATTATGTCTATATACATAAATATCTAAAAATAATACAAAATATTTATAAAAAATTATCAACTACAAAAAATATTTATTTATGTATAAAAGCGAACCAATAATTAAAAATTGTGAAAATGTAAAAAAAAAACAAAGAGTTTCTACCAAATGTACGAAAAATGCTGGTCGTGAGAATAAGAAAATATTTTTGAAAAAACGCCAAGAAATATATTAGAGTTCGAACACACGATTTTGAAAAACCGCATCAGGATTCGAGGGGGTGTAAACCCGGTAAAAAATTCGGGTTTTTTGAATTTTCTGAGTTCCAGAGGTTTTAGCCAAGAAAACCCGCCCGAGTCAGCTTGGAAGAAGAAAACCCCAGATACTGGTCTCGACAATATGAGAAGTTCGAACTCTAAATAATTTTATAGAAAAAAAACATTTTAGAAAAAAAGATTAAGGCTTATACAAAATGGCAAATATAAAAAAAACAGGGATTTTCTCGGATTGATATGAGGCACAAATTGAAAATTATTTCTTTTGTTGTTCTGTATATATGGTATATTTTTTTTAATTTTGAGGTTATTTCTATAAATTTTCTTTCTAAATTTTTGGTGTTGTTTAGCAAGCCAACATAAGGCATTGCTCTTTACTTTTTAAATTAAAACAACTTTGACATATCCATTCAAGACGAAAATCTTTACAAAATTCTGCAAATGCATCAGATGAAAGACCAGAACAATCCCAGTGATAAAGTTGATTACATCCTTGACTAATTGCAGTACATTGAATTGCTTTACGTTGTTGCTAAAGATAACACAATTTAATTTAAAAAAAATATTTAAAAAAAAAATACATTTATTTCCTGTTGACAAGCAAAACATAAGCCCTTTGCATGTATCCTCTGATCTGGCATAGGAGCAAGTGTAGAGCAATTGTTGACAGGTGGAGGAGCACTTCCTGGACCAGATGGAGGAATTGAAGAAGTGCATCGTTTGATGGATGGAGGTGATCGGCCTGGGACTGGAAAATTAAAATATTAAGAAAAGTTTGCCTAAATCAGTGGGGATTTTAGATTTGGCATTCAAAAATTTTCAAACCAAAACAGGAATTTTTGTTAAAAAAGAAAAGGCAAATAAAAATGTTTTTATTAAGAATTGAAGAAGAAACCTTTAAAACAAGCATCCTGTTGCATTCCTTGCAACATTTGATGTTGCAGTTGTATATGACCAAAAAATGGAGATGAACCATCTTGACCTCCTCCTGGACCTCCTCCATCCATTTGAGGAGAACGGCCCTAAAAATAAATAAAAATTATTTAAAATCATAGAAAAACCCATACAAAATTTGTTTGTTGATTTTGTTGCATATCTTGATCTTTTCTTAACTGCTCTTCCCTTTCTCGTTGTTTCCTCTGTTTTGCCGTTTCTTTTTTGGGTTTTGGCGCAGCTCCTGGTGTCATTGCTGAATTAATTAGAGAAATGTTGGCATCACATTGTTGTTTAACAGAGGAAGGATTGTTAGGTTGAAGTTGTTGTGGAGGTAATAGATTAGGAGGTGGAAACATGCCTGGAGGAAGAATTGCGTTGTAAGGCACAGGAATCGCTTGACCGTTCGGACCGGGGAGGGCAACCTATAAAAAGATATCTTATTTAAACCGACAGGAGACGTGATCAATTCACGGTCGAAAAACTAACCATTGGAATAAAGCCCGGTGGAATCTTTCCAACTAGCCACGGTGGTATCAAAGCTGGATTCACTGGCACACCTGGTTTGACAGACATCAAAACCATACGAGCTTGAGGAATAACCGGCCTAAACATTGGCATAGGCATTGATGACCTTTAAAGAGTAAAATTTATCTATTCTTTATCTTGTTTAACTAACCAACGACCCATAGGTGCAAAAGTGCCTTCTGGGTAGAGTTGTTCAAGCCTTTGACGCTGCTAAAATATAATGTTTAAAGTGAATATTTTATTCAAAACTTACTAATGGCATGTTATAAAAAGACCATTGTGGAAAAACACCTCCAGGAGGAATTCCACCTTCTTTAACATTGGGTAATGGAAGCAATGGTGGCCGTGAAGGATCTGTAGACCCCAACCTGGCCAATTCTGCCATGGATTTAGCTAAAATTAAATAAAAAATTTTCAAAAATTTCCTTGAAAAACAAACAATCAGCTGGAGGTTTTCCATCCCAATTAAGTGGTTGCATCGTCGGCTGCATTAATTGCTGTTGTTGATCATTAAAATGCTGTTGATGACCATTTAAAGGTGAAAGATTTGAAAATTGTGAAGAGGTTGTTGGAGGAAGGTCGGGTGCAAACGGATCACGAATAATTATTTTTTGTTGTTGTAGCCGTTGCTGATCAGTATTTTGATTTAAAACATTCGAGGAGGATGACGAAGAAGGACGTCGAAAATAATCGAAACCTGTTGTTGTTCCACCAGAAACAGAACCACCAGCTGAATGATGTCCAGAATCAGCAGATGAACAGCAAGAGGGACCTGCTGGTGCAGAACCAGGACCATTAAATTGTTGCTGCTGTAAATTTTGTTGAGAATTTATATTTTGTTGTTGCTGAAGATGTTGATGTCCGTTAGCTGAAGCTGGATTGGCAATTGAAGTAGGCACAAAACCAAAAAACTTAAAAAAATAATTTTGTTTTTTATTTTTAAAAGTAAAATTAAAGAAGTATCAAGGGTTTTTCAACCTCTAAAATCTGTGGGGGAAAATATCGAGATTGGGGTGATTTTTGTAAATTGAAATATATGTCCGCCCCGATATGTTTGAATCAACTAAAATCTCCTTACCCCAAAATCCAACAAAATAAATCTAAAAAATACCTCCACTTTAGAATTACATTTTCCACCAGAATTTGGTCCAATAACATTCGCTGCTAGCGATAAATCACCAATTGGGGAGATTCCATCTAAACCATTCAAATCTTCAGGAAAATTGTCAGAATTAATATCATCCTGTTGTTGTTGTCCAAGATAATCTACATTACTAGTTGTTTGAAGAAAAGTTGAGGAATGACTTGAAATTGAAGATGTTGTGGTTGCTGATTGCTTATTTTGTTCATTTTCTTTTATTAAATCATTGGAGGAATCTATGTTACTGAAAGCACCAACAAAATTTGTTTGTTGTTGAGAAATATTACTACTTGTTGCAGAGGATACGCAAGTTGTTGTAGGAACATCTTGGCCCATCATATACTTAAAAATTTAATGAATAAAAATTTTAGTCAAGCTAAAGAAATTTAGGAAATTTTAAGGAAAACCCTCTCGACACATTAGAGTCTGAGTTGACGACTCTTTCATCCCTTTAACAATAATGAACTTGATAAAAGCGCTTTATCATTCCTAATCTAAAATATATCCGGGAAGCTGCTGAAACAAAAAGAAAAACACCCATAAATGCAAAATTATTTTGTCGTTTGACTTAGCTGCTGCTTTAACAATTCTCTGCTACCGCGACTCTTTAACCACCCATCATAACAAATGTGGTCTCTCTTTCTCTAATTTCACTAGTTATTTTGGTCAGACAAGACATTAGAGTCGAAAACGAACTTGATAAAATCGCTTTATCCTTTATCACCAACTAACTTATCAATTATCTTTTCTAACAGGAGTTGTGATCTCATGAAAGCGATCTTTTGGATTTTTACGGATTTACTACATTTGGTAAAGCTATAAACGGGTGTGCATAAGAAGCGCTTCTAGTAGTTGACTCAACTTGGTAATACATACATAATAGAATTATGCTGGGTTATAAATTTTATTGAAAAACCCCAATTCGGCAGGACAAGCGTTATATTTTGGAAGAGGTTAGCGTATATTGAATATAAATAAAGCAAATGAGAAATACGGAGAAAAAATAATGCATGGGAGAAGATGAAAAGTAAATAAGAGAGAACAAGCGCAATTCAGGAAAACTGATGTTGTTTCCCTATTTTCCTCCAAAAAAATAAGGACCCACACCAAAAAAATATAACCAAGAGAATCGATTAAAACGCATAAAAATAGGGGATTAAATGATTAAAATCAAGCTTAAACTGTAAGTTTGGGCAAATCTGTGACTAAAAATATTAACCGAAACATTCAGAAATTTTATTCAAAGTTGGAAAAAATTAAAACACCATAAAGAATGCATTGCCTTTTGTTATAAATTTTGCAAACGGAAAAAGATGTAAAGTATTAGAACAATGAAAATTGATTTGTAAAACTTTTGAGTTGTAAAAATATGCGCGAACCGAAATTTATTTTTTAGAAAATTATTTTTTGTAATTGTTAAAAATAGTCAAATTATATTTCGGTTAAAAAAATAACATAAAAATGTATGTAGATATCTCCATACTAAAAAAAGAAATATAGACTTAGAATTTAAAGACAATTAAAAAATAAGCTTAATATATTAATGAGATTCAGAATGTGAACCTTAAAACTCTGATTTTTAAATATTTGATCTTTAAATATCCTAAAGGAATTAGAAATTATTTTTGGCACCAAATATGTATTTGTTGTCAGAAAAGTTAAAACAGGATCAATTTTTTGATGTATTTAAAAAAATTATCTTTTGATGCCAAAAAATATTTTTTATCTAAAAATAAAAAAATTGAAAAGTTAACAAACTGAGCTCACAGCCAACAAAAAAATTGAACAAAAAATTTAAGCAGTATTGGACGGTATGAATTTTGGGGGATATTTTGACTGGAAATACATTGTAAAAATTAAAAAAAAAATTTTGTGCTGAAAAAAGTGGTGATGATGCTTTTAAAAAAACAATTTTTGCTTTTTTTCATCATTGAAGGGAGCAACAGGAACGTTTCTTTTTCTCGGGTAACCGTACCATTTCGGCATGGCCCGGAGGCCCTAGCCCATCCACGGAGACAGAAGTGTCCATTATTAATGGTTGATTGCTGCTTGTTGCATGCGTAGAAGCTTCTTGTCTTGCCTCCGTAAAAGCACTAAAAATTGTTTTTGTTTTAAGGAAATATATACCAGAGACCGGACCGAGATCTCGATCCAATAATCTCGGTTATTCAGAGGAGATGTCAATCTCGTAGGACACTCCCAGTCCGGTCTCTAATATTAATTACTTACCCTCCTCCACCTCCACCACTATCTCCATTGGCGACTTTATCTGTGCGAATTGATGAACGCTGATGAGATGAGGAGGAAGGTTGTGAATTTAGTTGGTGTGAAGGTACAGGAGACCCGTGTGAGGGTGAAGGCGGAAATGGTTTTTGTCGATACAACTCAACAATAGGATCAACCTAAAAATACAAAACTATTCAATGTCATTTCATTTTTCCCACCTCGTGATAAAGCTGCTCATCTGGCCGAAATGGATTTTCATTTTCATGTTCTGATTTTCTGGAAATAAAATTATATTTTTATTTTATAGGAAAAAACCAACTTCATAAAAGAGGGCAATGGAGGACTGTTCACCATCTGAATCGAAGTGGATGAGGCAGTGACTTGAGGAGTGGCCAGACCTGATGCTGACGAACCAACAGCATCCACAATTGCTGTTGGCTGTGTTGTTGTTGTGGTAATTTGTGCGGGTGGTGAAATTGGTCTAGGCAATTCAACTTGTTCAGCGTGTACTCTAACACGGCTAAGAGGAGCGTCTGGACTGAAAAATAAAAAAATTTTCGTCTCACACGTATTTGTTTACAAATTAAATTTTATTTTTCTTCAAGTTCTTAATTAAAAATAAAATTTGAAAAAAAACACAATTGAGTAAATAAAAATAATGCCCACAATTTCAACTAAATAGACATAGAGGAAACGGATGTGAGAGGAGAGGAAATACTAAAATGATGTAAAAAGCAGCTTTTCCTAAATTCTCTCAAAACAAAGGGGAGATATTGTGGCCATTTTTAGTTTTTTTTATTTAATTCTTTTACTCTCTATCAAAATTAACAGTTTTTAGTCTTAAAAAGAAAAGAAAAAAGCTACAAGAGTATTACCACAAGAGTAGAAAAACATCACAAAATTAGTTACAATTTAATATTTTAAGACTCAATTGATAAAAGGAGGGAGTATTTCCCAAAAAAAAACAAAGAACCGCTGACCAGCTGCTTGGCCCAAAAATACTCTTCAAGAGGTACATCCAAAAAGAGATTTTATATGTGTAGTTTTCTTATTCTCTAAGTATTCTCTTATTTTAGTATCTCATTCCTTTTACTTATTTGTTAGTATAACTATGCCAAAAATAAGGGAAAGATACACAGCTGGTCCAAAATACTGGGGAAAACTGCCTAAAAGATGTCTTCCTTAAGTATTTCTTCAGTTGTCTTTTTTCAATAAACATTAGGTACCTTTGTGGTTATAGCCTTTTGAGTATTGGATTAACAAGTTAAAAACGCTTTTTGAAAACGACCAAAAAACAAGGCAGCACCTTGTTGTTTATCTCACTTATTTGTTATTAGAAGAATAAAGAGAAAAATACTACATTATTAGAGATGGACATAGTTTAAAAAAATAAAATCGTCCTCAAAAAGCTTTTTTAAACTTGTTACACTACAAAACCTATCCATAATTCACAAAAAATATAAAGGATTACGTACTCTGTATAAGTTGTTGATTTGTTTTGTTGCCGATAGCTGGCTATACTATAATCATTCTCCACACCATCATCATACAGAATCATTTGAACATGTTCCTCGCCACCAAAAGACACTCTTAATATTTAACAAAAAGTTATGAAAAAAAGTAACCCCATGCCCGAGACCAAAATTTTTTGGCTCAAGAAGGAAATCTACGTTTTTAGCACTCCTGAAACTATGAATAATTCTATTTTGGGTAGAGTAATCCATACTTTTTAATATTTTTTGAATAAAGCATACCCACCTTTTATTATGTTCTATAACCGCAGTATCATTATGTTGAGACTGGTTGGCCATTAATAAAAATGCTTATTCAATTTTTGATGAGTTTAAGAATTATCATTAAGAGAAGTATAAATTATAAAATTGGTAGTTAATTGAGGTAAAAAATATTAAAATTAAATTTAAGAAGTGATACTCTGAAAAGAAATTTTTTAAACTAAATTAGATCGGGGTTTTTGGATTACTTTTCCCGATCTCCGCCCGGATTATTTCCTGATCGGACTAACCCGGTTGATCGAACTAATCCTAGTTACAAATCAGGAATCCGGATCCGACTCCGGAAAAACCGATTTTTCCAGGCACTCATTAAAATCACACATACATACCAGACTCTAATGGAAAACATTGTGTGGGTTGACTTAAAGAAAATTAAGATTTATTATAAAGATTTATTTTGTGCTTTGCTAACAAAAAAGCTTACTTTTAAAAAAATAAATTGGTTAACGCTTGATTTACAAAAAATACAAGCTTTTCGAAAAAATGTAAATACTACTCTAAAACATCAAAAGAAAGAAAAAAAGGACAAAGATTCGGGAGGAGAGGGGTTAAATTTGAAAGAGCATTTACTACTTTCAAAATTTGATCATGAAGAGATGAGAAGGCGCCTCTTGTAAAGAGTCGCTCTCGGTTTTCTCTATTCGTTGTTGTCACAAGTCGGCTGGCTGCATTATAATGTTTATACTCTACTCAAAGAGCATAGCATTGATTTTCAGCTACTTATTAGTTTACACACATTTGCGGCAAGGAAAAGAAAGAAAATCAAGAGAGCACGCAAAGAAAATCATTGTTACAAAGAAAAATAGAAAATAGCGTTGTTTTGAAATGTTTAAAATTCTGTCTAATATTTGGCCAATTCATATTTTGCCACTGAGGCTATGGAATCACATTTTGCCAACGTAAACCCTATTGGCAAAACGTGGTTTTTTCCCTTATTGGCAAAATATGACATTGGTCAAATGTGGTTTGCCGTTTAAAATCTCTAATTGTGTTTTGCAAAAATGTCAATTTAGCTTTTGTAATTGTGAATTTTCTGTTAATTTAAAACACAAATTTTGGTTTCTTTTTACCTCTTTTTTACTTGTCAAACATTTGAATCTCATTTTTAAATCATCAATTCCTTCTTAATTTTCTAGGAACTTTATTTATATCCTCAAATAAACACAAAATCGATGACCTGTGGACTAGCTGTTAAACGTCCATTAGATTTGGGCCAGGATGCATTCGAATTGATTGATGTCAAGAGAGCTCGCCAAAGCGGTGCAAGTCCAAAATGTTCACCATTTCGCCCTCAAATGGGTATATTGGCAACTTCATTGAATCAGTCAACAACGGGTACTTCAAGTCCAAAGGTTTGCTTTAACTTTTTCTTTATTTTAATTTTCTCTATTCAAAGCCCTCTAATGGTTTAATCAACGTACCAAGTTCACCATTTGCGGAGATTTCTGGACGCTGTCAACTTTCGAGCAATCAACTTGACTCCTATCTGCGTGCTGAGATTCAACATCTGAAGCGTCGAAAATTGATTCCTCGTCGAGCAAATATAACAACCAACAGCCTGGAATTGTCAAGTAGCACAGCAAACTTTCGCAAAGCAAATTCGCCTACTTCTTCCATCGTTATTTTTTTTAAATGTTTTTTTAACTTTTGTTTATAGTCTGGAAGTGATTCTGATGGTGAAGTTCATAGCATTCAAGATCCAGAAAAACAACGCGCTGCAATGTTGGAGTCTCTCTATGAAAAGCCGCATTTTTCTCTTCGACAAGTAAAGCTGATTTGTGAGCGCTTACTTAGAGAGCAAGAAGTTCGTCTTCGCTATGAATATGAGACTATTCTGAATAAGAAACTTGATGGTTTTTATTAAAATTACTCGTTCTTATTTCAAAAATATATTTTAGAACAACATGATCAATATGTGCAATTTGCCAAAGAACAATTGGAAGTTAATGCTACGAAGATGGGCGACATTTCATGTATATAATTTTTTAAAATTATTAGAGATTGAGCTATGTGTCCGGGTCGAGGCTTGACTTTTTTGTTTGGGATAAACTTAACTTCCAGGATCCGATCTGAGTCAATGAATCAAATTCGTAGTTTAGGACCAAAACCCAGACTTTAAAACTCAATCTCTAGTGGACACAATCGACATATGTTTAAATTATTTTTTAGATCTCTCATGAAGAGCAACGCAGGTACTATGGAACATGTAAAGAAATTTTCACACCACACAACAAAAAAGAATTAAAATTCATTCTAACATAAGAAAAGCCTTTTTTGTGTATATTACAAAAGAAGTAATTTTAATGTTTTCTGGCTAAATTTTTTTTCTAAGCTTTCAGTTATTGTCATTTTAGAATTTAATTAGGTTGATTCTGTTGCTCTTTTTTCTCTTTTAAAAATAAAAAATATAAATATCAACCTAATTATTTCTGCACTTTTACTTGAATAAATGATGTCTTTTTATTTTGTTTCACTCAAAAAAAGTTGTAAAAAACTTTAAATATTTTTTTAATTTCATCCACAAATTATTAACATTGTTTAGAACTTAAACTTTAAAAATGCCATCTGATAGTAGACGATCTGAAAGATCTTCAAGAGATGATCAACGTAGGCGTGGTACGCCACAGGAACGTCCTGGAAACGTTCTGCGGCTGACGAGAGGTTGGTTAAATTTGATTTTGGTTCGGTTTGTTGGGTGGCACTTTTATGTTTGTAAAATATTTATGTTAGAATATTGGTGGGTGGGGGGATATTTGGAAGATTTAGATGGTTAATTTTTTGCACTGTGTTGCGGAAAGTATGGACTGGGGTTTTCTTATAACTGACAAGGAGAGTTTGCGAGGTGTCCGAGCTAAAAACGGTCGAGACCGGGCTCATTCGATAGAGAATGTGCCCTTTCTAGCAAGGATTTTTTGCCGTTTTTGCCCGTTTTTTGATCTGGCCAAGATATGGCCTTCCAAAGTCCCAAAATTTGGCATATTTTCCCCCCTCCAAATATAAACTTTAAATAATGCGTTTATTTTGTTGGCGCGGTGGTGTAGTGGTGAGTGTGCTTGCGTTACCCTTTTTCTCTAAAAAGTTCGATTCTTTTTTGGGTTTTATGCTTTTATCTAATTGTTTTAAACATTATTTATTCCTTTTTCAACAAAAAAATTTTTTTTGAAATTTTTTTTTTAATTTTTAAAAATTTTTGAAAATAAAAATTTTTTTTTTGAAAAAAATTACCTCTTATTTTTAAATTTTTAAAAATAAAAATTTATTCGCTATAAAACTTGAATTTGCTACACCTGGCACGTCGAATAAAACAATTAGATTCCCGGGGAATCTTCTCCTCTCCACCCATTAATCGTAAGGATAAAGTTAAAAAATTTTTTCCGAAAAAAATTTTTTCAAAAAAAAATTTTTATTTTCAAAAATTTTTAAAAATTAAAAAAAAAATTTCAAAAAAAATTTTTTTGTTGAAAAAGGAATAAATAATGTTTAAAACAATTAGATAAAAGCATAAAACCCAAAAAAGAATCGAACTTTTTAGAGAAAAAGGGTAACGCAAGCACACTCACC